TTAGCATTTTCTGCCACTGTGAGGTACAGGACACTGGGCTGGATGGACCTGTAGGCTGAGCCAAGAGGACAGCTCTTTATTGTTATGATTTTGATTTGGGGCCCCATCAAGTGCCATGAACATGGTTGGCTCCTAATAATCCTCTGTGGTTGTCCTCGTATACTGCTGTACCAATTGCTGCTGGAACTCCAGGTTGTGGGCCTAGGACATTAAGATGAACGATGTTCATGTCTAGAGGCTTGCGGGGCAAGATTGCAGCTGTTGTGCTAAGCACTGTGCATTATCCGAGTAGCACAGTTCCTGCTCTAAAGAGCTTGCAGTGTAAACACCCAGGTGCAGGGAAAGACAAGGAGAGTGTACATAGCAGTATTCCCATTCTACAGTCCAAGGATTGAAACATGGAGATTCAAGACCAGATGTGCAAAGGGGCAGGCCTCTTGTAGGAGTTACCAGAGCACCTACACAGGTGCCCAACTCTCAGTGAAAGTCGATGGGAGCTGGGCACCTACCTCACTTTAAGCGACTTGAGGACACCCAAGGAGTTAGTGAAAGAGCCAGGAATCGGACTGAGGCTACCTGATTAGTGCCTTATGTATATTGCTTCTCAGCCTCTTGTCAGCTCAGATCAAGCTTAGTCCTGTGCTTGCCTAGCAGGGGAAATACCATGATCACCACGGTGGCTTCCTTGTCACACCTGGGGAAGACCGCTCTGCTGGCATGGGATAGTACCTGCATAGGTAATGCATAGTTAACCTTGGCTTTATTCCCACTTTATGGAAATGGGAGACTCCTCCCTAGATTGTTCCTGGGGCCCAATGGCTAAGGGCAAGCAAAACTCTGGGGCATCCAGACCCCAAGCCTCTGGGCTTGGGCCTGCAAGTAGGATGCCCACCAAAGAATCTGAAGCCCCAGATGGGGGTGGAGGATGTTTGCTGGTAGTAGGGCCACCTATGGTTCTGGACTGACTCTCAGATTTGGAATTGGGTTTGGCTAATTTAGCTTGTAATACGGAAAATTAAAAAAATAAGTGTTTGCCCCTGCTCCCCCTCAGCCATTCTGGTCATAGGGTCACTTGTACATTGCTTCCTCAGGAGTACAATATGTACGGCTGGTGGATTGGGAAGCTGAACAATGTGGTTGGGATTGTCCCCAAGGAATACCTCATGCCTGCTTACGACACAGAGGAGAGCTGATCAAAGGGGTAAGTGACACAACCATCACCTTGCTGTTCACCCTTAGGCTTCTACAGAGAGAGCCTGCCTTGCTGGTAGTGAACCTGCCCTCACACAAGGGGGCAGGAGATATTGCAGGGAGAACTGTGAAGCGTGGCACGGTGGTGGGGAGAAGCGGCTTGGTGGTGTTTGTATTCTCATCTGTGGGCATGGATAAACCTGAGGGGGATGATTTCTTTGGCTCCATCATCTGCTTAAGCTGAGGAGGAAGGGAATGGTGATGAGGCGGGTGGCATACTGAAGTACTAATGCTGAACGTGCATAGGACAAAGATGCAGGAGGAGGCATGGCCTGGGGGAGTCTGGGTCTCACCCCATCTTTTTGGTGACAGTGGACAGGTCACTGCTTCTCTCTCCAGTCACCCCCTGTGCCATGAGTGGGGGCTTGATATGTATTAATGCTTGGCTATTTTTCAAGTCCTTTGAGGGTTACATGTGAAGTGCAGAGTAGGGTCATTACACTGGGTTGTTTTTTGGCTCAATTAAACTCCAGAGAGCTTAATTCCCAGGAAACATTGTCAGCAGTAATTCAAGTGCCAAGCCCTGTAGAAACAGCACTCTTCTCCCACAGATCTTTGAACCCTTTAGAGAAGAAGGGTCATTTGACTGATAGGGAAACTGAGGCACAGAGTTGGGAAGGTGCCCCAAGGTGATGCACCAGATCAGAAACGGAGCCCAGGTGTCCTGATTGTGTTGCATGCTCTAAAGAATCATGCCACTGCTTGCAACATCAGAGTTGGCTCATCCTGCTTCACTATCTTGGTCCATAATTTCAGGGGTGTGGTTTGTAGCCCCATACTCTGGGATGTGGAACCCCATCCCAGGCCTCCTCCCCAAGAGAATTCAGTCTCTTCTCCTGGGCTCTGACTGCCTGGGCTTATGGGCACAGTTTAGGGGCACTGCCTTGATCACATTTATCACTGCCCCCTTCTATCCCTGAAAGCTGTTGAGGCCTTGCACTGCCAAGAGGAGGATCCTGCTATAGTTCTCTTGAGTGCGCAGGGAGTTGATCAGTTGTGCCTTGGTCTCAGCCTTCACTTTAACCTGCTCCCTTCCCCATCTTCATGCATGTATCTTTTCCCTCCTAGAATCCCTAGCACTTTGCCTCCCTGTTTCCTGACTTTCCTGAGATACTGGACAACACTCCCCAGCCCTGAGGTCTCCTCTCTACTGCCACCTTGCAGGCTCCTGCGGACACCCCATCTGCATTTGCACAAAGAGAATCCCATCCCCATGCCCCTGGCACTAATGGTGTCTTGGAGAAAGCCATTTTCTCCTCTGAGCTCACCCCAAGATGAGATGCACCCCACCCCACTCCCAGCCTCTCCTCTACTGGATTCAGAATGACATGTAGCTGGGACCTGACTCCTACATCCAGCTGACGAAGACCCTGAACAACCAGCCAGTGGAGTTTGTCTCTGTTTGGGGCAAGGTGGTGACCCTGAATAAACCAGTGTAATTTTTCTTTGGTACTGTCAGTGTGTGTAGTTCCCTGTGAGCTCAGCCCCCACTGGTCCTGCTCCTGACTGGTTCTGCTGCTGGATTCTGAAACCAAGGATGGAAACCCCCTGTGCCAAGGCAGCAACCCTTGGAGCCTGGACTTTTTCCCCCAGCTCTGTTCAACCCCAGTCAGATGCTGGTCTGCGGGCACAGCTGTCTGTACTGCCCCAGACCCAGTGCATCAGCAGGCACCTTTTCACCAGCAGGAACAGGCTGCTTGGGGCCAGAGAGTTGTATCCTTCATGTGCAGTGGTTTTAAGGCCACTAGGTGGTGGTAGGCAACTGTTCACTGCAGCACTTGCCTAAAGGGAACAATCCCTGAACCTTCCCACCTGTAGACAGGCCCCCACCAATGTCCTCTACATAGCTGGGCTGTGGTAGCATGGATTTCACTAGTTAAGCAGCCCCTCCCTGCATCCGGTTTCAAGCTGCCTTTATGTAGCCCATACTAGGGTTCATGCTACTATACATTTGCTAGACAAAAGGTAGGTGGGATATAGATAGCTATGCTATCATCGCAGCTCCTGAGGACAGTGAAGATGCATATCCATGGGGAAAAGGGACCCCTTGGCCTGACTCTCTAGAGCTGGCTGCATATGGGAGCTAGGCATGACAGGCTCTTTGAAGGGTGTGCTCTCCCCTCTCCTAACTCAGGCCCCTCATCAGGGTGGCAATTCACCAGGTACCAGTTAAGCATGTTTCAGTACCTGCCTGAGGTGGGGCCTGAGTTTCTCCAGAAAAGGCTCCAGGGTCTCTGTTAGACATGGATGCCCACTGCAGCCCCCAGGTGGGAATTTTCAGTGCCTCCAAGCCTCCGAATAGGGATCCGCCAGAAACCCACTTCTAATTCCTTTGGAGTTCAAAGGCCTCCGTATGTGACCCTGGGCTGTTAGCTGGGAAAGGCCTGAACCCACCACATCACGTCCCCATCAACACTCTGCAGAAAGGTTTATCCAGAAGTTTACCCCCACTGTTGGAAGGGAGCAGAGATATGAAGCCTCCTGCTGCTCACCAGGGTCTTGTGGATCTTTGTGGCATAAAGAAAGCACCAGGAAGCTTTTCCAGTCTGGCTTTTTGTAGCACTCAGTAAAGAGCCATGACAGCTCTGATAGATTTAGCTGCTTGGCTAACAGTCGTGGTAAGACAGCTCACCTGTGAGGCCTGCAAGGCAGCAAAGTGGGGGAGGAGAGGGAAGGCTGTTACTTGGTCCTGTCCCTTCCCTTCCCGGCTGAGCTCCATGTAACCCCTGGGGCATGATGGCAGCTTCTAGCAGTAGCACTAGCCAGGGAGTGAAACATGGGAAAACAAATGTCAGCATCTTTGTGAGCCCAGGTGAGGTGAGATCAGTGCAGGATGGCAGCCAGGCTGGTCTCAGTGCTTTCACCAGCTTCCTGCTCAAACTCAGAGTCTTGTGACACTGACTGCCCGCAACTCCTGGGGTTAATGAAAGTGGGGTTGGAGTGAGCCCCTGGTTTGAGTCCTGTGAGGCATGTGGAATAGACAGCATCAAGGCTAAGTGTTTTGTGGCTTCAGGAGCAGCAGTGGCTGAAAGGGTTTGACAACCAGCATAGGCAGGACAGATCCAGCCTCTGCGGAAAGGTACTAGGGCAGAGACTGTGCACAAGACTAGGCTGGCAGAGTTGGATCTCCGGTCAAAGCCAAGGTCTGCAGACTAGAAAGCCAGGATGCTCTTCTCTGCTTTTGACCTTGGGAGGTCACTTAGCCTCTCTGACTGCTTGCAAACATGGGGGCAAAAAACAAAATGGTGCTTTACTTTAAACTCATCATGTTTCCATGCTGAACCCAGTACATGCCAAGAGGTATCACATTAGTTAGACCCAGTGTGCCCAACATCTGTATAGATCGGGTGCTTTAGTAGGGCTTTTTTGGTGCTTTTATCTAATAGCTGATTGAATCAGCTATTAGATAAAAGCACCAAAAAGCCCTGCTGAAGTGCCTGATCTATACAGATGCTGCAGAGCTGGGTTGAACTAAAATGCTGCTTCTGGTTAGGGCCAGCCAGAAAATTTTCTCACTGCCCCTGGCCCACTTGGGGACCCCTCTCCTGACCCTTGCAGTTAAAATTATTGTCAGGGTGAAGTAAGAGTTCAAGTGAACCTGCCTCCATCCTGTAATGTGTAGGTTTTCCAGCAGCGTTTGCTCCTTACCCATCCCAGCTCCTTCATATCTTTCACCAGCACCAAAGGAAGCAAGGAAAGACTTGTTCATGCAAAACAGTCCCCTGCTAGTGGAGGAGCAGGTTTTCCTAGTAGAGGCTACAGTTGGTGATAAGACACTACACCTGAATATCACGGAGTGGGATTTTTTGGGTGTATGAGGAAGGGCAGGCCTCACAGCACCCCAGTTATCAGCTGGCACAAGTCAGTTTCAAGAGTAGCTTCCCTGGATTGGTTTCTGCGGGCACAGG